ATTTGGAATTTTTAAATTAAAAGAAATTAATTTTTAATTTAAATTTAATATATTTGGAATTTTTAAATTAAAAGAAATTAATTTTTCATACAAATTAAATAATTTGGAATTTTTAAATTAAAAGAAATTAATTTTTAAATAAAATTAAATAATTTTAAATTTCTAAATTATAAAAGAAATTAAGTTTTAAATTAAAAGGAAATAATTTTAAATTTCTAAATTAAAAATTAAATTAATTAAATTTGATTTAAATTAAAAAATTAAAACAAAAATTATTTTAATATAATATATATATATATATACAACATTTCTCGATTTTCAAGAACATTCCAATGAAAAAATCTTACAATCGACTACCGTAATTAATTTCACATTTTTGTCAATCTATTTTATTGTCCCCGTTTCATTTTATTCTATTTCATTTTTTTTTTCCTTTCTATTCGCATAAATCTGTGCAATTTACACGTTCGAACAATCTCAAATGTATGCAAATCAAATTGACAATTTTCACGCGCAACAAATTTATTGGATTCTCTCATCTTTATTTCTTTCTTTTTTTTTTTATTGAAAAATTAAAAAAAAAATATATGTACCCATAATTACGAAAGTGGTCTAACATAAGTTAAAATTAAAAAATAAATAAGTTTATTAGTTATTACGCGCCATATTATTTTAAATTAAATAAATTCAATGTAATTGTTCACGATATTGTCAAAGATGAATCGTTAGATAATGTTTGTTTTTTTTTTCTCAATATTACATAGAATTCATATAGTGTGTTCAAATAGAAATCTTGAAATATCTCGAAACAAAAGTTACATGATTTAGATCACTTTCATAATTATTGGCACATATAATAAATTTAATAAATTTTCTACACATTCATACTTAATCAAGATGTTTCTGTAATTTTATATTATTTCTCAATTACACGTTGAACACAAGTGTACAGTGAATGAATTTTTGTGTTTGTATATGCACGTGTTTATTTATAGAAGAAGCAAATAAATGATATTTAATAATAATCGATAAATATTTTTTTTTATCAAAGATTTACTCGAAATAAGTATTTGATTATCTTAAGATCATATTATTCGTATTAATTTTATTTATCTACAAACTAATTGTAAGATATGAAAGATTTTTAACGCTAATGTAAGATAATACTTGTCTATTTATGTTATTTATTTTATCTTAGTTAGAATTGTAAATAAATCACGAATCGTTTAACCACTACATTCGTGAATGATTAAAATACACATGTGTGTGTGTGTGTATATGTATTTATCGATTGAGCAACAAACTTGTGTTTGCTTGTGACAACCGTATCTCGTTAGACTCGATTGTATAATCTCAAGAGAAATTGCACGTGAGATAGATAGATCATTTCAAAAGATAGTTAAAAAAAAAAAAAAATTGCCATTGTTAATAACAACAACACAACGAAAAAAAAGTTAAAAGTTTGTTATAAAAAAAAAAAAAAAACATGTGTGCAGATCACACGTGTTAGAAGTGAAACCTTCAAAAATCTAAGTTTCAAGAGTAAGATA